TCAGGACATTGACATTCCCGTTGTTGATCTCCATGTGACGGAGGGCGTACACACCATACACACCTTTGACTATATCGTCCTGCCAGAGCAGATTTCACCGGTGGCGTCTTTGCAACCTCAGAGATTGGCACGCACATTAGGAGGTGATGCGCGCGAACAAGCCCTACAAAGCAGAGTCGAGGAGCGAGTAGCGAGACTACATCAGCTCGCCATGCAAGAGCAGCAATTCGCAGCAAACGCTGAGCAGCTCCAAAATGATTTCACTGCACAGAACAGGAGAATTCTGGCACTGAGAGATGAGGAGCGTGACACTTTGGCGAGGCTCAGTAGCCTGCAACATGCAGAAGTCGAACAAGTGCTGAGACTGGAGACTCTCCAGGCAGACGAACAACATAGGCAAAGCGAAATCGCAGAGCTGGAGCAGAGGCGCGCAAACCTTGGGGAGGAAATTCGACTAGATCTGCTTGCTACTAGTGAGAACGGACAAGCGGGCATCGCTAGCCAGGAAAGGGGGATGCCTGACCCCGATGCATCTTTGCGCCAGGAGGAGGCACCTCAGGTGGAACAGCTGGTGGCAGAGGAGGGAAGACTGCAAGCTCTGGTGGCTGACCTCACATTGCAAGTCGGCCGACTCAATGACGACAGGCAGCGCCAGGTTTCATCTATGGCAGCGGTGGAAACACAGCACATATCTGCAATCGAGGGGCTCGTTGCTCAAGAGTCAGCACTGCGAAGCAAAATTGAACAGCTGGAGGCGATATTGCAACAGCTCCAAGCTAGGCTTCATGAGACGGCGGCGAGCGAGAAAGACGCTAGTGAGGGGGAGTGTTCTTCAGTGGACAGTGGTGTCCAGCCTCCGTCGCCGCCGGCGCTAGGCACCCACGTGGCCCAGATAGCAAGGAGTGATGACTGCGACGAAACTGAAGAGAGTAGAGCTGCAAGCGGGCAACAGACCGGGCTTGCTTTGGAGCACATGGTGTGGGAAGCTTTGCACTCGGATGATGAGGTTTCAAATGCATCAAATGCCACAGGGGATGCAGGAGATCGACGATCATCCACGGCATCTGTGTCCGCTACCGAGCAGCTGATGGAAACCTCGGAGGTGCAACAGGACAGCGAACAGGTAAGATACTCGTTTCATGGCAGCCAAGCCTGGCCTGACAAGTTGTAGATTGTGCCAAACGAGACAGAACAAGTGTCCGTAGTGTTCAAATTGTTACTGGACGGGGAGTGGAGGACGCAGCATGAGGTGCAGGTAGACCCAGCAGAACCGTCTGCGGTGCAGCGGGCCGCGGCGAAATATGTGCGAAACGGGTTGGGTGTCTTTAGTAGCAAGAACCAAATGCTTCGTCCACAGAACTGTTTTAGGCGAGTGATGGATGATGGGAGCAGGACTATTCATTTAATCCCGCAATGGGCCGCAATAAAGGATAGAGAAGTGGTTGGAGACAGGCCGCGAAAACGGCGACGGGAGCATTGAATAGCATAGAATACAATAGATTCTGGGACAGAACCTGGGCCGGTATGCGTGAGCTAGTGTATTTTGTGTCCTAGTGTCTTTAGTCCAGCATACAGCGAGTGCTGGAACCCCTGCATTGGCACACATCATGTTCTGGGATACGTCATGTACTGGGATACGTCATGTACTGGGATATAG